TAAGTCCTCAATAACTGTTAGTTATTATTTCTCTAAAATTTCAGATTTTCAATTTATACAAAGTTGAGACTACTTTATTGATCTAAACATACAATACTGTATAGAAAATAAAATATCATTCTATGTAACTACTTTACCTACTTAACAAAGGAATTGTTTTCACCTATTGTCTCCAAATCAATAAACTGGTAATAATTATGCAACAGCCATTGGAGAAATAAGTACATTTATATGTCCTGCTGCCTGGACATAACACCCAGGTCCCAGGGCAGACACTGACTAAGCTGGGTCTCTAAGAATCTCTCCCATGGGGGCAAAGAGGTCCAGGGAATGGAAGTCATTGGAGCTGAGTTACACCAATGTAGGCATGTAGGAAGAAAGACAACATTCAACCACTGCTGAGGTCCACCCCCATCTGCCTTGATTCTTTCTCTCTTCCTATTAAGAATTATCCAACTTTCACCAAAAGAATATAAAACACTGTAATTTCCTGCAAACTCCTATCCCTGTGGGGAACATTTACTTGGAGGATGTTACTTCACAGGCAAGAAAACTGAAATCAGAAACCAAGACTCTAATCCAAATCCATTAACTCCTCTGATCTGCTGCTGACCTATAAAAAGAGACTAATACCATTGCAATGGACATTAGTTGTTTTGCTACCCAGTACCCACTCGCTTTCCCGGTGATAAAAGCCCACAATTTCCTTTTGAGAATTCACCTCTCCCCAACTCTTAGTCTACGTGGTTCCTGAAGAGCTAACTCCACCAGGCTCCAGGAGTGGCATGTAACACAAAATGGCCAATCCAAGCCTCACACCCCCTAACATGGGATTGGCTGAGCACAGGACATATGATCCCATAAAAGCCAATGAGCCACCAAGAGACTTTTGCTAAGACTTCTTGGGAAAAGACAGATGCTCTTTCCTGCTGAATCTAAATTCTTAGAAGCTACAGGGGTTGAATATACTATAGCCATTTTTCTAACATACAGTGTCGGCAACTGAAGTCTACACAGGAAAAGGCAGAGTTGATTCATGGTGAGAAACTGAGTCCTAATGACATCACTTAAGCCCTGAATCCAGCTAGCTGTGCCTGGACTTTGCAGTTAGGTGAGCCAAGAAATTTTTTTCTAGCTTAAGCCAGTTTAGGTTGATATTTCAGGCAGTTGGAAGCAAGAGAGTCCTAACAGAGATAGACAGACATGTATCTCTATATATAAAATCTGATCAGTACCAAATGTCTTATAAAACAGCATATATACATGATTATTAATAACACTAGTCATAAGCTACTGATTACTAATAACAAAAAGTATAAAGA